CGACTTGGGCGCGGGCGCACTCGGGCCTGACCGAGTTGCGGGATCGGCGCGAGGTGCAGACGCTAGCGCTGGTGGTGGACCTGATCACCGCAATGGACGTGCTGGCCCAGCGTATCATCGCCATCCTGCGGGCCAAACAAGTCCAAGGGCGGCTCCTGGGAGAAGGCCGAGGCTGCGGAGATGCCGACGGGCACGGGGGGAGGAGTCGCCGCGGGCGGGCTCCTCAAGCTCGCCGCGTGACGAGGTGGCGGAGGGCGCGGCAGAGGTGGGTGGCTGCGCCGCGGGGGCCAGGAGCTTTCCCTCGCCTCCGTCGCGGTCGGTCTCGGTGACTGGCCATGCTTCGTGGGCGGCCCGTTGGGGGCGCCTCTTCGTCGGGGTCGCCTCGGGCGGCCTCGAGTGGTGGAGTTCGGCCGATCTTCGCCAGTCATCTTTCCAGTCCCATTGCTACGACGTCGTGGCGCTGAGCTCGCAAAGTTGGCTCACGCACAGGATCGCAGTTCTGGTCTGGGGCAGCTTGTGCATCTCTGGCATCAGTGACCTGCACTTGGCCGTCAGCGACTACAACGGCGTACCTACGCAGGCCCAGCGACGCGTGCAACGGCGCATGCTGATGGGCGCCGCCCGCTTCCTCAAGGCTGAGTTGGCTTGGCCATTTGCGGCTGCAGTTCAAGCGTTCCTGCGCCACAGCGACGGCTACGAGCCGCTGAAGCGCGTCGTGGGGCCCCTCGGCGAGCGCAGAGGAGTCCCCGGCCATGCCGCGTCAGTCGACCTGGCGGGCCTGCTGGACGAGCACTTCCCTGGGCTCGCAGACCAGGTTCGCCACGCGCGCTCGCTGCTGCTGAGCGTGGACCAGCGGCCTGCCAGACTCGAGGGGCCGCGCGCTGGTGGGGCCCACCTGCCCTTCACGTGTAGCTCGCAACGTGGCCGCGGGCTTCCAGGGGCGCGGCTCCGAGAAGAGGGTGCGTTAACAGCGCGGCGCGCCCCTTGTCGCTGGAGCCTTCGGCGTGTGTGTGTGTGTGGGGGGGGGGGGGGGGGGTCCGACGCGGAGCAGCGTGTGATCTCGCATTTGCCAGTCGACCAGCTGCTGGACCCCGCCGCCCTCCGCTCTCCCTCGCCAGATTTTTGCATGCCCTCCGAGGCTGCGCGTGGTCGAGACACGACCTGGCACGCGGGTCAAGCTCTGGGGGCGTGACTTGCGGCGCTACTTTCACCAGTTGGCGATGGGCAAGGGCTGGCGCAAGTGCGCGGCTCAACCGCCCGTCCCTGTCCCTCGTGGGGGAGCCTCTGAGGTCCACCCCTTCCACCGCGCCACGCCCATGGGTTTCGCGACGTCGGCGGGCTGGGCGCAGGCGGCTTCAGACGCCGCCTTCCCGAAGGCCGAGCTGCCTCAGGACCGCGGGGCGACCTTCGACAAGCCCTGCCCGACTGAGCTGCCGATCTGGAGGTCCATCGTTGATGACTTGTGGGCCTTGGGCGAGCGCTCGGCTGGGGGCCGAGCCCGCAGTTCAGCGGCCTTCTTGGGGCCGCGTGGGCATCCCCGCGCATCGTGGGAAGTCCGTGGACGGCGGCCAGGGCGAGTTCCGGGGGGCTGAGGTGCACCCCACCCAGCAGTGGTTGGGTGCGACGCGTTGGCGGCGCATCGGCTTCTTCGCCGCCGCCCTCGGCCTCCTGGGCCAGCCGGTGGTCTACCGCAAGGGCGTGGAGCGCCTGGTGGGCGAGCGCGGCTACTGTCGGAGCTTCCGCCCCTGCCTTCGTTCGGCCCTGTCCTACGTGTACGCGTGGCTGGGGGGCCTGCCGCTGAGGGGCCGCATGCCTGTGGCCTGGCGCCCGCTGGCATGGCACGAGCTGCCGCTGTCGGCAATCCTCCTGCCATTCGCAGAGGAGGACCTCGACGCCGAGTGGTTTGCCCGCGTCGAGTGCGCCCGCGCCCCCCCTGGCGAGCGCGGCAGGGCCTGGGCCTCGCTTCCAGAGGAGTCGGTGCGGAACATCGCGCAGTGGGCTGACCATCGGGCACCCTGCACCATGCTGGGCGACGGCTTCGGGATCGACGGGGATGTTGAGGGGCGCCGCAGCCTCGCCAGGGTGGCGCCGCCGCCCGTGCCGCACCGGTTCAAGGTCGGTCGGCCGCTTCGAGCACATCGCCTTGGAGGGGGCTCGCGCGAAGCTGCGGGGCATGGGGGCCCGCCTGCGTCGGTCCGCTGAGCTGGGGCGCCGAGTGCTGCGCGCTTGTGGCAGCGCGCCGTGCGAGGGCGCCTTTAGCGAAGCCCGCGGCGCCAGCCGCAAGCTCGATCGTCGGTGCCGCCGCGGCGCGGCCATCGAGGTGGCTGGCGGGCTCTCGCTCTTCCATGTCTGGATCTCCACGCGGAAGCCCCGCCGACGAGCCCAGCAGCTGGCGCGGCGTGCGCGCCGCGGGCGAGGGAGGGCAGCTGCCGCGGCCCTTGCCTCGCCCGGAGGCGGTGCCCTCCGCGCCCGCGAGCTGGGGCAGTTGGGGGGCCATCTTCTCGCGCCTCTGCTCGGGGCCCAGTCGCGAGGGGGGCCTCTGGGACATGATCGAGCTGGAGGCGCGGCGGGCGGGCCTCGTGGTGACGGCGTTGGCCTACGACCCCGTGGTCGATCCAGCCACGACCTCGCGCGCGCCCGCCTCGTGCAGGAGCTGAGAGGGCTCTGCGGCAGCGGCGACGCGTGGGGTTTCTTCGCTGGACCGCCCTGCTCGACGGTCAGCCGCGCTGAGCGCCGCCCGCTTGCTGGGCGTCGAGGGCCGAGACCTCTGCGCTCCAGACGCGAGCCGTTCTCGCCCTTGCCAGGACTGACTGACTCCGAGCGCCGAGCGTCACCCATATCATTCGTTCTGGTGCTCCTGGGAGGTGACGGGGTGGATAGCTGAGTTCGGGCTGCGCGCCGTCTCGTTCGATCAGTGTCGACGCGGGGCCGTCGCGCAGAAGCCGACGCCCATCGCCGCGAACGTTGCCCGGGCTGGAAGTGCCCCGGGGCTCCGCTGCAAATCGCCGACATCATCGCAAAGGAGTTTACGGGCTGGCGCGGGAGGGGGGTTCGTCGCCGGACATTTTGCTCGTTATCCTCCGCAGCTGTGCCAGGCTCTGGCTCGCTTGGCAGTCGGCACCTTCGCAGAGACCCGGGAGCGGCCGCGACGTGGCCGACGATCTCGACAGGCGCCGTGGGCGCACCATTACCTTCTTGATAGGCGCGCTGAAGCCAGTGATCATCCAGAGGTATGCCGCGGCCCTCGGCGCTTTCAGCTCTGACCTGGAGGAGATGGGCCTTGGCGCCGAGTGGCTTACCGAAGAGGAGCTCGACTGGTTCCTGGTCGAGCGCGTGGTAGACCTGTTCGAGGGGTCTGGTGGCGTCGAGGGCCTGGGGACTGCCTCCACGCCGTTGGCGTCGTTCGCAAAGGCGAATCCTCGGTCGCGCGGCGTGGGGGGCGCTGGGCGCGCGGCGCACTCGGCGGCCGCCCCTGCAGGCGCCTGCTCTGCCAGCCGTGCTCGCCTTCGGGATCGTGAATTGGTTGGCGCTGGCCGGGGAGTTCGGCTGTGCCGCCGGCTTCCTGCTCTGTTTCGCTGGCCTGCTGCGGGCGTCAGGGGCGCTGGACGGCGGCGCCTGGGTCGGGACCGCCGCGGGCTTTGTGGCGCTGCTTGGCCGCGCGAAGCGCGGGTCGGAGCAGACAGTCCCGTTCGAAGATCCGTCTGTCGTGGCCTGGTTGCCTGGTTTGACGGTTTGACCACGATTGCCTGCGCTTTCCTTTCGAAGGCAGGTGAGAAGATCTGTGCTGTGCTGTGCCCGGCCCTCGGCTGCAGCGCTGGCGCTAGAGGGGCGCGGGTGCCTTGGGCCTCGGAGATGTGCGCTGGACGACCCGCGGGCTGCGCCGTGGTGGGGCCGCCAAGCTGCCGGCCCGTGGCGCGCCGCTCGCAGACGTCATGTTGTTCGGGCGATGGCTCGCGGAGAGGTCAGCTCGTGAGTAACTGCGGCGTGGGGAGGTGCGTCTCATTCGTTTGCGCGTGAATCTTCCTGCGGCTTCCTGGTCTCTTGCATGCAGATATTGTGCAGTTGGGTCCCAAGTCTGGGGTGTGATCCGATTGCTGAATGTGTCCTGTTCCGTTTTTTCTGACCAGGTTTGGAGCTCTCGCTGGATTGGGGGTGTGGCGAGGAATTGGCCTACGCGGGCGAATTCTCGAATTGCCGTGGCGTCTCGAATCCCTTTGGATAAAGTGCGTTTCTTTATTCTTGTGTGCTTCGCGTGCTGCCTCCCCGGGGAAGGGTCGGAGTTTAGAATGTAGGTGACATTCTTGAACTGTCAGAGCTTGCTGGGTGGTTATCGGAGCGCCAGTTGTCTCAACCAGCCTCGTCTCGACTGTTGTGTGATCAAATTGCGTTGCCATGATCTGTGATAGTTATAGTTTGACCCCGCTGCGCCCCCCCCCCCCTCTGGCTTGGACCGATACTCATCAGTGGGGTGCGCAGGGCCACTGCATGTGCGCCTGGCGGCGAGGCACTGGCCTGCGCGGGCGAATCCTTGAGTTGCCGTGGCGTCTCGATTCCCTTTGAATGCAGTTTTTTCTTTGGTTTTTGTACGCTTCGCGTGCTGCCTTCTTTGGTAAGGGTCGGAGAATCGAATGTCGATGGCATTCGTAAATATGTATTTATGTATGTATATATGCCTGTATGTATGTGTGCATGTACGTATGCATGCATGCATGGACGTATACATGTACACATGTGTGTGTGTCTGTATGCATGCATGTATTGATGCATGCATGCATTCATGTCTGTCTTCGTGTATGTACGTATGTATGTATGTACTGCAGCAATCACTGATGTCTCTTTACGGCGGGTGGCGTGGCCAGGTCTGTTGCGATCCATCGCTCATATATGCTCGAGTGTTCTGCTGAGAGAGGTCAGCAGCGCATGCTCGAGTGGCTTCTCCCGTGGAGCCTGGCCGCCCACCATGCGCGCGCTGTGACTGGAGACGCGGTCGCCCCCGCCAGGTGCGAGTGCCAGTTCCCCGCTATTCCAGCGGCGGCTGAGATCTGCGAGCCCGTATTTGAAATCTTCCGAGAGGCCGTGGGGCGCCCCGTGGCGCGCCCTGCCGCGCCGGCGTGTTCGCGCCCGGCGACGCCCTCCTGTCCAGACTGCGCGCGCGGGGGCGCACCCCTGGAGGGCCCGCCCTCGAGCGGGGGGGCGCTGTCGATCGAGATCTCGGTCAAACTGGACTTTGTCTTGTTCACCCTGGGCTTCCTCGCCGGGAAGAGCAGTGGCCGGGGGGGGGGGGGAGTTCGGTCTTTAGGTGCTGTGGCCTTACAGGGCCCAGCTACCCGCGGGGAGGTTGCGGCGTTGCGGCGCCTCATCTCCGAACGAGGCCTTCTCCGCCGACCTCGCTGGGATGCCGTGCGTCTTCCGCGGGGCCCAGCCCCCCGCGCGGCGAGGGTGGTGCCGGTGGTCATCGCGCGCCTTGACGACCAGAGCGGGGAGCTGCTGGACGAGGAGGTGCCGCGCGGGCGGGAGGGCCAGCCGCTGGCGGCCAGTGATGAGGCTGGAGGCGTTGACGAGCAGGTGGCCGCGCTTGTGGAGCCACCTGATGGCGGAGGCGGAGGTGGATCGCCCCCGCGGCGTGGCGCGCGCGTGCGCAGTCGCTCGCCGTCGCTCAGCCGCATGGCCAAGGTGGCCATGCGGCGGGCGGAGGGCCAGCTGCCGCCTGGTGGCCCCGCGGCAGGAAGCGAGGTGGGCTCCGCGGGTGGCGGCGGCGGCGGGCCATGCCCACGGCGCCGCGCGCGCGAGCGCAGCAGCTCGCCGAGGCAGGCCGACCTGGCGCCTCCAGGGCATGAGAGCCTGCCGCTGGTGAGAGGCTCTGAGGACGGAGGCAAGGACGCGCTGGAGGCCGAGCTGGCGGAGGCGCCTGCTGGCGGAGAAGGAGTCAGGTCGCCCCCGCGGCGACGCGTGCGCGCGTGCGGTCCCTCGCCGTCGCCGAGGCGGATGGCCAAGGTGGCCAAGCTGCAGGAGGAGGGCCAGTGGCCTGCGGCGGGCCCTGCTGCGAGATGCGATGCGGGGGCCGCGTGTGGCGGCGGTGGCGGGCCGCTCCCGCGGCGCCGCGGGCGAGAGCGCAGCTGCTCGCCGAGCTTGGCCGCCAAGGTCGCCAGGCTGTTGCGAGCAGCGAGAGGTGAGGCCTGAGTGGCGGGCTCGGCGCGCGGTGCCGCGGCCGAGGCGTGGGCGCGCGCGGGGGCGCTCGTGGCACGACACGACCGCTCTACCCCGCGGGCATCATCCTCTTCTTCCTCCTCCTTTGTCTCCTCCTCCTCCTCCTCCTCCTCCTCCTCCTCCTCCTCCTCCTCCTCCTCCTCCTCCTCCCCCTCCTCCTCCTCCTCCTCCTCCTCCTCCTCCTCCTCCTCCTCCTGGTGATGACGTGCAGGTGGGGCGAAGACCTTACGGGAGGGGTCCAGGGGAGGAGCGAGGCGCGCCCACACGGGATGCAATGGCCAGCGTTCCGCATACTATTCTAGTGAAGTGGCTCCCGGGCGGCTCCCATGGCGTGTTTCGTCACATGTTTTCGAGCGAAACGGCCAGAGGGCCCCCAGGCGTCCCAAAGAGGGCCCCAAAACGTCCCCACAGGGCCCCAAGACGGCCCCAAGAGAGCTTCATATTGCCTTCAGACGGTCCAAGGGAGCCTCAAGATGGCCCCAGAAGCCCTCCAGATGTCCCCTGAGAGGGCCCGAGCAGGCCAACAATATGAACTTCCCACATGTTTTTGTAAGGTTTTCGGGTTCTCACCTTGGGTCGAAAAGGGCACCAGACGGCCCGAGAGGCCCCAGAGATCGGCCCAAGACGGCCCCAGAGGTGCCCCGAAAGGGCCCGAAGACGGTCCAAGAATGCCCCCAGACGGGCCCCAGAGGGGCCCAACACGACCCCAAAGGGCCCCAAGGCGGCCCAAGCAAGGCGGCTCTAAGAGAGCCCCACGAGGGCCCAAAGAGGCTCCCAAGATGGCCCCCAGAGGCCCCCAAGAGAGCCCCAAGACGGCCAGAAGCTTCCAAGACGCCCTAAGACGACCCAAAAAGGCCCCACTACGGCCCCAAATTGCCCCAACAGGGCCCCCGAAGGGCTCCACAAGGGCACCCAGAAGAGCCCGACGAGGCCCAAGAGACGCTCAAGAACACCATGGCTCCCATCAGCGAGCGGGGAAGTATCAAGCTCTTGACACCAAGGCTCCCCAGAGCGCGGTGACGTAAAGAGCTCGTCACACCAAGGCTCCCAAGAGCGAGCGGCAACGTAAAGGCTCTGAACACCAGGGCTCCCAACAGAAAGCGGCGACGTAACAAGCTCTTCACACCAAGTCTCTCAAGAGCGAAGGGTGCCATGAGCCATCTCGGGCAAAATCCTGAGGCGCTTTTTCCGTTTCCGTGCGGGCCCAGGTGACGGAACGAGCGAGGTACGAGTGAGTTCCGTTGAGTTGGGGCGAAGCCTTTAAGGGGGGGGTCCAGGGGGGGGGGCGAGGCGCGGACGGGGGTCTAATGGTCAGATTTTTGGGGTGTTCCCTAGGGCTCTATGTTTTTCGGATTCTCCCTCCAGGTGGCCGAAGGGCTCTCCACGAGAGCCCAAGACCGCCCAAGACGGCCCAAGAGGCCCCCAAGAGGCCCCCAAGAGGCGCCCAAGGGGCGTCCCAAGAGGGCCCCAAGAGGCCAAAATCATAGATTTTCCAGAGGCAGACGTCGATTTTTAGGATCTACGGCTTTTCGCCTTTCATGGCGTTGACGACGGCCCAAGAGGCCCCCAAGACCGCCCCCAATCGGCCCAAGAGGCTCCCAAGATGCCCCCAAAACGGCCCAAGAGGGCCCCCGGACGGCCCAAGAGGCGCCCAAGACGGCCCAAGAGGGCCCCAAGACGGCCCCAAGAGGGGGACCACGGACCGAAAAGTCTAGCCAAAGCCCCCAAAGAAGCCCCAAGAGGCCCCTAAGAGGCGTCCCAAGAGGCAACCAGGAGGCGAAAATCATTGATTTCCTATTGGAAAGCGTACATTTTTTGTCTACCCGGCTTTTCGGCTTCCACGGCGTTGAAGACGGTCCACGAGACCCTCAAGACCGCCCCAAGACGGCCCCAGAGGCTCCCAAGAGGCCCCCCAAACGGCCCAAGAGGGCGCCAAGACGGCCAAGTGGCGCCCAAGACGGCCGAAGAGGGCCCCAAGACGGCCTCCGAAGGGGGACCACGGACCGAAAAGTCTAGCCTTTCGCCCCAAGAAGCTCCCAGGAGGCCCCCACAGACCCCCAAGAAGCCCCAAGAGGCCCCCCAGAGGCCCCCAAAGGGGCTCAAAAAGGCCCGCAATAGGACCCCCAAGAAGGCTCGGAGAAGCCAAATAAAGACCGATCGGTACCGCAAAATGCTCTTCACACCAAGGCTCCCAAGAGCGAACGGTGACTTAAACAAGCTGATAAGACCAAGGCTCCCAGCAGGGAGCGATGACGTAACAAGTTCCTGACACCAAGGCCCAGCCAAGGCTCAGGAACGGACGGCAACGCAACAATCTCTGAAAACCAAGGCTCCCAGGAGCGCGGGGTGACGTAACAAGCTCTCAACGCCAAGGTTCCCAGTACGAACGGTGGTGTGAGCAATTTCGGTCAAGTTGTTGAAGCGCTCTTTCCGTTTCCGTGCCGGCCCAGGTTTATTGATTGGCCTTCGGCCCATTCCGTCACCGTGCGTGTCTCGGGGATTTCTGGGCCCGTGTTGGGGCCCTCTTGGGCCCGAGAAAGGTCACGCGAGAAGAATCGCCAGGGCCTGGGAGGTACGCCGGGAGCCCCTGGAGATGCAGCAATTCGTGGTCCGGGCGCTTTAACATTCAATCCTGAGGACTGAGGACGCTCTAACTCGTGCCTCGCGGCATGGTTGCGGATAAGTGAGTCTTCCCTATCGTATCCCCAGACGTGTTGGTAGGGCGGGCCCCGGGCGGGCCAGGCGTTTTGCTTCTGAGATTTCCTCATCTTTTTACCTAACAGCTCTTGCTGATAGGTTTCTAGTGGTCTCAAAAGAGAGCATCATGACTCCTCAGGGGGGTCTGGGCGGGACCCGGACAGGCTGCCGCCGCGGCTGCCGCCGAAGCCCAAATCGCTTGGGACATCCTCGCAAAGTCGCTCTTGGCGCTGCTAGAACTCCATTCCCGGCGTACATTTTGGATGCCCGGAGCCAACTGTAGGCCACTTCGTGGTCTTCGAGTTCCCAGAACTCCATTCCCGGCGTACATTTTGGATGCCCGGAGCCAACTGTAGGCCACTTCGTGGTCTTCGAGTTCCCAGAACTCCATTCCCGGGCCACACTTTGGATGCCCGGAGCCAACTGTAGGCCACTTCGTGGTCTTCGAGTTCCCAGAACTCCATTCCCGGGCCACATTTTGGATGCCCGGAGCCAACTGTAGGCCACTTCGTGCTCTTGGACTTCCCAGAACTCCATTCCTGGGCATGATTTTGAATGCCCGGAGCAACTGTAGGCCACTTCGTGTTCTTCGAGTTCCCAGAATTCCATTCCCTGGCCACATTTTGAATGCTGAGGCAGGCTGATGCTGAGGCTGAGGCAGGCTGAGGCTGAGGCAGGCTGAGGCTGAGGCCGAGGCTGAAGGCAGACTGAGGCTGAGGCTGAAGCAGGCTGAGGCTGAGGCTGAGGCAGGCTGAGGCTGAGCAGGCTGAGGCTGAGGCAGGCTGAGGCTGAGGCTGAGGCTGATGCAGGCTGAGGCTGAGGCAGGCTGAGGCTGAGGCCGAGGCTGAAGGCAGACTGAGGCTGAGGCTGAAGCAGGCTGAGGCTGAGGCTGAGGCTGAGGCAGGCTGAGGCTGAGGCAGGCTGAGGCTGAGGCTGAGGCTGAGGCTGATGCAGGCTGAGGCTGAGGCAGGCTGAGGCTGAGGCCGAGGCTGAAGGCAGACTGAGGCTGAGGCTGAAGCAGGCTGAGGCTGAGGCTGAGGCAGGCTGAGGCTGAGGCTGAGGCAGGCTGATGCTGAGGCAGGCTGAGGCTGAGGCTGAGGCTGATGCAGGCTGAGGCTGAGGCAGGCTGAGGCTGAGGCCGAGGCTGAAGGCAGACTGAGGCTGAGGCTGAAGCAGGCTGAGGCTGAGGCTGAGGCAGGCTGAGGCTGAGGCTGAGGCAGGCTGATGCTGAGGCAGGCTGAGGCTGAGGCTGAGGCTGATGCAGGCTGAGGCTGAGGCAGGCTGAGGCTGAGGCCGAGGCTGAAGGCAGACTGAGGCTGAGGCTGAAGCAGGCTGAGGCTGAGGCTGAGGCAGGCTGAGGCTGAGGCTGAGGCAGGCTGATGCTGAGGCAGGCTGAGGCTGAGGCTGAGGCTGATGCAGGCTGAGGCTGAGGCAGGCTGAGGCTGAGGCCGAGGCTGAAGGCAGACTGAGGCTGAGGCTGAAGCAGGCTGAGGCTGAGGCTGAGGCAGGCTGAGGCTGAGGCAGGCTGAGGCTGAGGCTGAGGCTGAGGCTGAGGATGCAGGCTGAGGCTGAGGCAGGCTGAGGCTGAGGCCGAGGCTGAAGGCAGACTGAGGCTGAGGCTGAAGCAGGCTGAGGCTGAGGCTGAGGCTGAGGCTGAGGCTGAGGCTGAGGCTGAGGAGGCTGGCTGATGCTGAGGCAGGCTGAGGCTGAGGCTGAGGCTGAGGCAGGCTGAGGCTGAGGCAGGCTGAGGCTGAGGCCGAGGCTGAGGCAGACTGAGGCTGAGCAGGAGCAGGCTGAGGCTGAGGCTGAGGCAGGCTGAGCTGAGGCTGAGGCTGATGCTGAGGCAGGCTGAGGCTGAGGCTGAGGCTAATGCAGGCCACTGCGACTGTCATCGCGAATGCGACTACGACTGCGAGAACAGCAGAACTCTACAACTGGATTATCATCTGAATCTTAAGGGGGTTGCTTCCAGATATGCTCCTACACATCGCTGTTAGGTTGCTTTGCCGGGATACTTTGATCTTATGTTTTGAAATTCGCTATAGTGTTTTAAATGTTGAGGGGCGTTTGTTTTCGTAAGCCCAGCGCGACCCCAATTAGGATCTTCTCTCTTCGGAAGCACTTGGAAGCAGTTCTGGGAAATTCAAGGCAATGCAAGCATTGCTAGCCGTTGCTAGGCGTTGCCTGACACTTGTTGGCACGGGTTTTTGCATTGCTTGGCATTGCTCGAACGAGTGCTCAGGCCAGCCACAACTGGGGGAGCTGTGGTACTTACCCCCCTGGGGACCCATCGATTTCGACACCCCTCTCGAGAGATCGTCGATGCGATGGGTTCCCCCAGGGGGGTTAAGGACCACAGCTCACCCAGTCATGGCTGGTCGGAGTGCTAGGCCATCTCAGACCTCTAGCCGGCTCCAGGTGCCCCGCGCGTCGCCCCGCACCGCGAGGACTGCGAGCCCTGGGAGGCCTGGAGGGGGGGGGGTTGGAGGGGGCCGACCACGCTCGGTGGCTCCAGCCCCGTCGCCCTCCCTCCCCGCGTGGAGGCCCCGCGACGCGCCGCGCCCCGCCGCGATGGGCGGCTCCCGCTCCAGCGGGGCGTCCAGCGGCTCGGAGGCGCTGGCGGCCTGGCAGGGGCCCTTCGTGCCGCCGGCGTGCCGGGAGCTTCCAAGACCGAGGGCCAGGGGCTTCGGGGGGCGAGGAGCGGCACACGAAACGTGAGGCAGCGTGAGCCCCGACAGTGCGTTCTGGGATACCAGCTGATGCGGTCTGTGCTGCAAGCTGTGATGGTGGAAGCTCGGTGGTGGAAGCCAGGGGTTGCACTCTACGTGGTGCAACATGTATTCCCCTTCCTATATTTTTATAAGCCTGGGCGGGGGGAAAACCCGTCCCCCCCCCCCCCCCCCAAAACCGGACTCCCGGGACCTGGGGCTTTGGGGCCCTCCGGACGGGCCTCGAAGCGGCCACCGGGCCTCGTAAGGCGTTTTGCCAAGCCTTCCCAGCACACTTAGGGCGATCAGGACGTCATCGGAGACGTCCCAGAGACCCCCAAAACAGCACAAGAGCGCTCCAAGAGTGACCGACGTGATCTCAAGATGGCCCAAGAGGCCGGACGGCCCCAAAGGGACCTCAAAGAGCACTCCCAAGAAGGCCACCCGAGGCAAATATCATTTATTTTCTGCGGGAATTTTGTGAATTTTGGGGTTCTCCTCTTTTCGGCTTCCCGACGATCCAATACGGCGGTCTTCTGGGCGTCCGGGCTCCCAAATCGCCCCACAACCATCCGAAAGGGCTTCCAGGCAGTCCAAGAGAGCCCCGAAGCGGCACAACACGGGTCCAAAATGGCCCTCAGAGAGCCCCATGGCGGCCCAAGATGGCCCAAAGACGCCTTCCGAATAATTCCAAATCGTGATTCGGTCGTTCAGGGAGACGGCGGTTGGAGGCAGGGTGGCCCGAGGGAGCCCTCAGAGGCGCCTAGAATACGCCCTGGAGGCCTCCAGAAGGCCTTAAGAAAGCCCGAAACAACTTTTGTGAGGCCCCTAGAGGCTCTCCAAGGAGGAGCCTCCGCAAAAACGAGCTGAGGAGGATGGGGAGAATGCGCAAGGTATGGCGAACATAAGGAACAATAAGCATGGAGGAAGGATAACGAATAACATCATTATAGCGGCGATGCCGGAAAAGGCAACCAGGAATTATCGCTAATTTGTCGGCTTGACCTTCCTGCCATTCCGCCTGCATACCAAACTTCAAGGACCAAGGTGCATGGCGCGAAGCGCCACTGCAGTCTTGTATACATCTATTTATGAATGCGGTGTGAGCCATATTTGTTAATCAATGCAAGTCGATGCACATCAATGCAAGCCAACACAACTTTATGCGCCGCAGCGTAACGCAATGCGACACAAACAATGCAATTCGACACAATGCTAAGTAACGCACATAACCTCAACACATAGCAAAGTAATGCAAAGCAATGCATTGCAATGCAGATTAATGCCGAACAATTCGAAGCAGTGCACGCACGCTGAGCACTGCAACGCAATGCAAAGCAATGTAATACGCCACAAAGCTTGCAATGCGACCGGGGGGAGTGCGACGGAGGAGCGGCGACGAGGCGGCGACGGCGGTGGCGACGGCGACAACAAGCCACCGAACCGACACCCAGGCCCAGGCGACTGGCGGCGACGAGGCGGCGACGGGTCGGCGACGGCGACAACAAGCCGACCGAACCACAGGCGGTGACGGAGGCGGTAACGGCGACAACAAGCTGGCCGAACCGACACCCAGGTCCAGGCGACTGGCGGCGGCGACAGCGACAACAAGCTGGCCGAACCGACACCCAGGCCCAGTTCCAGTTCATGTAGACGAAGTAAGAATCCCTAAGTTCAAGTATTGTTTGGAGAATGTGCTTTTCTGCAATCGGGGGCGCCTGTCCCAGGGCGGCTGGAAAGTAAACACCCCCACCTGCAACCGTAGGGTTGTTTACTTCCCAGCCGCTCTGGGACAGGCGCCCCCGCGTTCTCCGCCCCCGAAGGGCAACGTAAGGGGGGGATAGTCTAGCCCTCCCACCAGTGGTCTGAGTGGGTGGAGTCGGAGAATGGCGCCGCATCACCGATACATCGGCGATGCGGCTGACTATGCAGCTCGATTTTCTCCACGCCTGTGTCGTCGATGCATCGCCGAGGTATCGGCGATACATCGGCGACGCGGCGCGATCCTCCAACCCCGTCTGCTCGGACCCCGTCTAGGAGGCCTTCATACTCGGGGGCCCTCGAACGGTGTGGCGACCACACCGCGTGGTGAGTCGATGGGGATGTCGGGACGGGCTCCCGCAACTGCGCCTCGCTGAGAGCGTTCGGAGGGTGCCCAGATTGCCGTGAATGGCCAATGGAGACTCGAGTTATGGCCCGCACGCCAATCATTGCGAGGAGGGCCGGTGTGGTGATTCAGTGGGGATTCGGGGTGACCGCACGGTTTTGGGACTCGGGTCTTTCTCCGAGGACGTCTCGGGCGACTGGGGCCTCCAGGGTCCCAAAACGGTCCTGTGACGGACCGCGCGGTGAGGTCGTTGGGGATTCCGAGGTCACGACTCGGTCCGCCACCACACAATTTTGTGCCCCGAGGCTAGGCTCAGGGGGGGATGCATCGACCCCAGCCGCCCATCGATTGCCGATAGGCTCAGTGGGTGCGAGTAGGCTCAGCGAGCGCGTGGGGATAGGCTCAGTGGGGGGGTTAGGTTCTAGGTTTTCGGATGTTTTTGGCTGTTCCTGGAGGTGTCCCAGTCTCGGGATTCGTTCTGGCAGCTGCGCCTCGCCGAGGGCGTTCCGAGGGTACCTGATCGTCCCGAACGGCCGCCATAGACCCGAGTCATGACCCGAAAACTAAACGACGCGGAACGTTTCGGGGGGATAGGCTCAATGGGGGATGCCTCCACCCCCAGCCCCAGCGGCCCATTGATCGCCGATGGGGGCCCGATGACCCACCCCACGCAGGAGCGTGCGGATCGCGAGTGCCTTCGGCGATGCTCCTCGGCGAGCACGAGTAATGCCCTCCCCTGTGCTATCCACACCGTTTGTCTCAGGTGGTAGGGGTGTGTGGGGCTGTCATGGCTGGGGCCACGAAAGCTCGCTTTTCGGACTTCTTTGTCTTTGAAAATAATTGCTTCAACCAGGGTCGGCTGAATTGGTTGGCCCGAGGGGTTGAACGGAGGGTTGGTTGGGGCTGGTTTGAGGGTTTGCTTGTGTAGTTTTTCGGTAGGCGGGTCTTTCCACAATATACTGTAGGATGTGTATCTCTGTGATCATGGCCGTGGCCGTGGTACCCCCCATGTCTCATGGCATCCCCTCTCCTTCTTCTAACTCGTCACCTTGGCTCTTCTCCCCTTCGTCCGCGCACGTGCCTCTGGCCACGGTGCGCTAACTAAGCCCCGCTTCCTCGGCGCTTCAGAGATGGGGCCCTGAAAGCAGGAAGGGCTCCCATGCCGCATTGACGTTTCTCCACGCCCCTGGGCCTCAGCCCAGACCCCCGACGTTGTGGTTTTCACAACGTCGAGAGGTCTAGACCTCTTCCCCAGGGCCGGCTCTTCGTCCTGCGTCGTTTTTCGGAGGCTGTGGCCCGAGGGCCTCCGGAGGCCGACCGCAACCAACAAACGCCCGTCGTGCTTTTTCACGACGCGAGGAGGTCTGGGACCTCGGGGCCCCGTCCCGGCTGAGCACCGCCTCTGAGCCACCGACAGTTGTTGGCCTTCCCGCTCCGTTGCGCCCCCCCCCCCCCCCCGAGGCGTGGGACCCGTGCTGGGCCTCGCCGGCCTCCACGCTGCCCAAGGGGGGAAACCTCACCGCCAGGCCTCCGCCCGATCGCTCGGCCGCGGGGCCGTCGCCCGCCGCCGCCGCAGCCGCCCCCTGACATCCTCGCGCTGTGGGAAAAAACACGGCGGCCGGTGTTTGCTCGATTTCGGCCTTCCGGGGGCGCTCGCCCGCCCAGGAGCGTGCGGGTTTGCTATCGGTGGCCTATGGTCGACGTAATGGTCGACGTATCGTCGATGTCAGCTCGATGTTCCCCTCCCCTGAGCCAGTCCCCCCCTTCTTGTTCTCCCTCAGTCTAGGGGGGGTGGATATCATGGCCAGGGCCATGATACCTCTCCAGATTTCATGGCCTCATCTTTCTTGTTCTGATGCGTTCCCTGCCCCCCCCCCCTCCTTGGTCCGCACACGTGCCTCGGCCCATGATTCGCACCCTACCCCCTCTTTGACGTCCCCCTCTTGGACGCCCCCGACCAGAGGTCGTTTCTGGGTCCAAGGACTGTCAGAGGGCAACTCGTGATGAAAAACCAGCCTTGGGGAAAGGGGTCGAACGCCCTGGGGGCCCGTGTCAAAAGGAGCTCGGTGTGACGGATGGGAGGGGCCATCGCCGAGACCCCGCGGGCCCCATGTGCACCCAGATTTCGGTGGTGACTAGCTCCTGGCCAGGACCCTCGCCCATCAGGTTCTGGTTCCGCGCCCGGGGTGTGAGGTGGGCCCGTGGATGCCAGGGCCATCATCCCAGGTCCCAGGAAGGTGTACGTGTACAGACAACCTGGCTCCGGCTGGGCGGGCGGGCGAGCTGTGCCGGGGCCTGGGATTGCCCTGGTCATGTGCGGTGGAGGCATCGGATGCCTTCTGCGTAGACCGTTTTCCTTCTGAAGTTTAGGGGCTGCGGAAGACGAGACTGGGCAAGGGTGGTGGGGGGGAAGGCTTGCCCCCCGCTGCCAATTTACGGCTGATCGACGCTCGGGTTCCCCGCCCCGGTTTTGCTGTCGCGGTTCTATCGCCGACCTATCGGTGACGCTTCGCCGATTGCAGGTCGCTGTCCCCCCAGTGAGCCATTAGCCCCGCTTTCGCCCGCTCTTCAGAGGTTACACGGGGCCCGCATCTGATCCCTCCGCTGGTGCTTTGACAGCACACCACCAGAAGAGAAGCGTTTGATGCGAGCAACATATTACGGGTAAGCTCAGTGAGGGACGGTCGGCCTACACCGCAAATTGTTTCTCGCCGATGCGCCATGGGGGCTCCCGCGCCCGCAAGCCTGCCGCTGAATCATCAAGGGCCTTTCGGCGATGTGTCGGCGTTGTGTCGTCGGTTTTCGGAATCTACCAGGGCCTGTTGAAATTCGACCGACCCGATTGGATTTCGCATTTTGCCCATCTCGATCCGATTCGATTTCGACTTGCCGACGATCCAGCGTGCCCCGATGCTTGCGTCGCGCAGCTGCGCATATCCGCAAGGGCTTCGCCCCCTGCCGCCGGCCCCCCTCTCTTAGAATGGGACTTGCCAGAGCTGTGTTGGGATGTCTGAAAGAGCGCGTTCTGTGGTCGCTTGGAGGGGGGGGGGTTTGGAACCGGACCCCCCCCACCCTGATGGAGGGGGGGGGTCGAACCCCCCCCCTTCCCGTGACGGGGGGGGGGGTTCGAACCCTCCCCCCTACCCGTCCCTTGCCTTTCCTCTCTCCCTCTCCTCGGGCTGGCGCCGGCTTCGGCGGCGGCGGGCGGCGGTGGCGGGGGTGCTGGTGGTGGTGGTAGTGGCGGTGGTAAGGTGGTTTGTCGTGGTAGTGGTGGTGGTGGTGTGTTGTGCTGCTGGTAGTAGTGGTGGTGGTTGTGGCGGTGGTGGTGGTGCTGTGGTAGATTGTGGTGATGGTGGTGGTAGTGATGGTGGCTTGTTGTATTGGTGGTGGTGGTGCTGGTGAGCTGTTGTGGTGGTGGTGGTGGTGGCTGTGGTGGTGGTGGTCGTGTGGTGGTTGAGTGGTGGTGGTGGTGGTGGGTCGAGGTGGTGATGGTGGTGGTCGTGGTGGTGGCGGTGGTGGTGGTGGCGTGGTGGTTTGTGGTGGTGGTGGTGGTGGTGGGCTGTGGAGTTGGTGGTGGTGCTGCTGCTGCTGGTAGTGGTGCTGGTGCTGGTGGCGGGTGGTGGGTGTTGGGTGGTGGTGGTAAATTTGGTGGTGGTGTGGTGGTTTGTGTTGGTGGTGTTGGTGGTGGGTTGTGGTGATGGTGGTGGTTGTGGCGGTGGTGGTGGTGGTAATGGTGTGGTGCTTTGTTGTGGTGGTGGTGGTTGTGGTGGGTTGTGGTGGGTTGTCATGGTGCTGGTGGTGGTGGCGTTTTTGGTGGTGGTGGTGGCGGTGGTGTGGTGGTATGTGGTGATGGTGGTGGTTGTGATGATAGTGGGTTGTGGTGGTTGTGGTGGTGGTTGTGGTGGCGGTGGTGGTGTTGGTGGTATGGTGGTCTGTGGTGGTGGTGGTGGTGGTGGTGTGGCCTTCGGCTCTTCCCGCCACTGTGCTTGGGCAACGGGTCAGAGTTCTCATGGGTGCCTGTTGAGGTCTCGTCAGAAGGGTTTCGTTGGCGTCTGAGGAGCATGCGAGGGCTAGATGTGGCGATTGGTGTGTTCCCTCGGCGGCCTCTGGGCCCTCTCTGGCCATCGTCGCTGCATCCCCGCCGTCGGCGCTGCTGGCCGCCGCCAGTGCCCTCGCCAGCGCCAGCGCCGGGGGTAGGGGGTGGGGGGGGGGTTAAACCCGCATGTGGGCCCAATCCCAACCCACTGGGCCCAATCCCAACCAACTGGGACCAATCCCAACCAGTGCGAAAAGCAAACTGGGCCCAATCCCAACCATCTTGGGATAGCCCCACAATAAGATTTTAATTGTACAGAAGCCCAAGACGACTGCGAAGACCAAGTGACACCCCTTCTGTCAACGCAAAGGATCTGGAAGCCAACATGCGTGCTCGAGTTGGAGTTGGTCTCAGTTTTTGGTCTGCGCACAAGCACTACGTTAAGATGAGCAAGAGGGCACCGAAGCTAAGCAAAAACGGTTCGAATTGCATCGATTCTAAAATATGCAAGATGGATCCTCCTAGTAGTAGTAGTAGTAGAAGTAGTAGTAGTAGTAGTAGTAGTAGTAGTAGTAGTAGTAGTAGTAGTAGTAGTAGTAGTAGTAGTAGTAGTAGTAGTAGTAGTAGTAGTAGTAGTAGTAGTAGTAGTAGTAGTAGTAGTAGTAGTAGTAGTAGTAGTAGTAGTAGTAGTAGTAGTAGTAGTAGTAGTAGTAGTAGTAGTAGTAGTAGTAGTATAGTAGTAGTAGTAGTAGTAGTAGTAGTAGTAGTATTAAGTAGTCGTAGTAGTGGGGTTCCGAAGAAATTCAGAATAATCAGAAGGAAGACAGAGGAATTCTGAAGAATCCGAAGGAATCCTGAGGAATTCCGAAGGATGAATCCAAAAGGAATTCCGAAGGAGGAATCCAAAAGGAATTCCGAAGGAGGAATCCAAAGGAATTCCGAAGGAGGAATCCAAAAGAATTCCGAAGAATTCCAAAGGAATCCGAAGGAATTCCGACGGATTCCTGAGGAATTCCAAAGGAATCCCAAGGAATTCCGAAGGAATCCGAAGGAATTCCGAAGGAATACGAAGGAATTCCGAAGGAATCCCAAGGAATTCCGAAGGAGTCCTAAAGAATCCTTCGGAATTCCGAAGGAATCCGAAGGAATTCCGAAGGAGTCCTAAAGAATCCGGAGGAATTCCGAAGAATTCGAAGGGATCCGGAGGAATTCCGAAGATCCCATCCGTGGTTGCAATTGGTCTCATTTTTGATTGGGTTGGAATTGGTCTCATGTGTGGTTGGGTTGGAATTGGTCTCATTTGTGGTTGGAATTGGTCTCGCTTCTGGTTGCAATTCGCTCCGAACGGTTGGAATTGGGACTAGTCGGTTGTAATTCGTTCCATTTCGGGTTGAACCCTCCCCCTCCTGAGCCCTCTCTGGTCACCGTCGCTGCGTTGGCGCTGCGGCGGCCGCCAGCGCCGGCGCCGGCGCCGGGGGAGGGGGGGTTCGGGAAGGGGGGGGGTTAGGGGGGAGGGGAGTCCCTTTGGTTATGATCGACGGCGCCGAGTGTTGTGGGGGGTGGGGCCACACCCCCGTTCGAAACGCGCCGCCGAATGTTTCCAAGGCAAGCGCCCGTGAAACGCGCTCTCTCGTGTTTGGACGCTGTCGTGAAGAAATGTCGGATCTTCACAAACTGAGGAGTATCTCACAACTGCGAATGTTTTGTAATTTTCAAAGGTTTATCGGGGGCGCGAAGATAGTGTAATTTACGAGTGTTTATGGCTGCGGGGACGCGAGTACTGCGCACTTTGCAAGGTTTGTGGCTTCGAGGACGCAGTTATTGTATACTTTACGAGCGGTATGGCTTCGGGGACGCGAATATGGTGTAATTTACGAGGGTTCATGGCCTCGAGGGCGTGAATCTAATATAATTTAATAGGGTTTATGGCTTCGGGGACGCGACAACCGTGTACTTTACGAAAGTTTATGGCGTCGAGGACGCAAACTCGTGTAACTTAGGACGGTTTATTGCCTCGGGGGCGCACAGATCGTGTAATTTACGAAGGGTCATGGTTTCGGGGACGCGGATATTGTATGATTTAGCAAGGTTTTTGGCCTCGGGGACGCGAACATTGTGTAATTTAGAAGGGATTATGGCCCAGGGGACGCGAATGTCATGTACTTTTATGTGCCCCACGCCCCCCGGGAATTCTGAGAACCCTCCCAGGGCGTGGTACACAATCCCGTTTGGGTCTCCCACCCCTCGCGCGGGCAGCAACAATTCACAGCAAGGAAGCAGAAAGCAGGACTGTAACAGTGGAAACTGGAAACTGCAACTGGAACATAGAGCTGCAATCTTCACCCTCGCAGCCTGGTGGCCCCGCACGGGGGCCAGCGGATTTGTGCGGCTGGTCCGCTTCGAGTTCAATTCCGTGTCGCTGCAGCCCGCCTCGACGCACGCGCCGATTCAGCGCGTTTCGAGACCAGCCGCCGGGAAGCCAGCAGCCAT